CCCCAGGCCCCTCTCTGAGTTGCTTCCACTGGCCCAGAGGCGTGCAGGCCTGTGCCCGCCTGCAGCAGCTCCTGGAGTGGACCAGGAGCGCTGGCTTTGGGGAGGCTGGGGAGCACTTCTTCCGGAAGCTTTCCTGCACACTCAACCTGCTGGCCACGCCCCGCGCCCAGCTCATCCAGGTACGTGGTGCAGAGTGTTCGAGGGGCAGCAGGTCAGTGGGGATGGGACGGGGACTGTGTGCTGTCGCTCCTGAGTCACCAGCCTACAGACCAGGCAGAGGTGGTGGACGTGCTTCTGGGCCTCAGAGAACTTGCAGAGTTGTTTCCATTCCACAGCTGTTCCCACCTGTAGGCAGGAAAAAGGCCCCAAAATGTCAGTGTCTAGACCTTGATCCCCAACTGACTCTGTGACCCCACATGGCATGGGGGCACTGCAGAGGTGACTGAAGCTCAGGACCCTGAGATGGGAGATGGCCCTGGGTTAGCCCCTGGGCTCAGTTTAATCACACAGGTCCTTCCAGTGGAAGATGCTCAGAGATGGGATGGAAGGGAAACGAGGGACTCGACCCACCGTTGCTGGAGGAATGGAGGAATGGCCATGGGCCAAGGACTGCAGTGGCCGCCTAGGGCTGGGAACAGCCTCAGCCGAAGGCCAGCACAGGAATGGTGACCTCGGCCCTACACCCGCAGGGCACTGCATTCTGACAACCAGGATGAACTAGGAGACGGACCCTGCCCTGGAGCCTCCGGAAGGGACACAGCCCTGCCAGCACCTGGATCTGAGGCCATGTGACCCCACAGCTGTAAGAGGGCACATTCCTGCTGCTCTGACTGCTGTGTTGTGGTCATCTGTTACAACAGCAACAGGAAACTAATACATCCCCTCCCCCTCCTCCCTCTCCAGCTGCCTGACACAGTCGTCATAGATAATCAATGAAACCAGACCAGTGCTGTCCCCTTCTGCCTAGCATAAACCCCAAACATGCCCCAGGAATAAGGGCATCTGGAGGGAAATGTTTGAACCAAGTCAGTAATGTGGCTACTTCGCCATCTCCAGGCAAAGCTCTGAGCTGACTCCAGCATAGCCAGGGTGGCATGATATTCATGAGGGGACAGTGGACATTTCAGTTTGGTATTAAAAAATGGAGCAATACACCTCTACCCAAGGGAACAAGACCCAGAAAACCTCCTGTGTGCATCCGTCACTATTTTTATTAGTAATGGTGTAGCTGCTGCCTACTGAGCACCTGGGAAGTGTGGACGGCTGAGACCAACACATAGTCATCTGTTTAAAGGCACCAGAAAACTCCTGAAGCAACGGGGACTGGGGTAGCAGATCTACAGAGGGAGAACCACAAAGCTGTTCTGCTGCTGCTTTTCCTCTGTGGACATTTGTCTCATCTGGAAGCAGGATCTGTGTGAGACTGAAAGTCCAGCCTTCCTCCAGATCGGGCCAGGGCTGGGGAATAGAGACCGGAACAGCTTTGGCCATCTTACAGGCTAGGGAGACAAATGTAAGATACTCGAGGAGCCTGAAGTGCTTGGTGGTTTTCCCCTTATGACATCTGACAAAATTCTGAAGCTCCAGGGCCTGGGATGGGAAAGGCTTTAAGCAGAAACTCTGAAATGCAGAGTGGAATTGGTGGTAGTTTGACCTCCACTGGGTCAAGGTGGTCAGTGAAAATGAAGATGCACATACCAAACTCGGGTGCAATTAAAGCAGTGCTAACAGGCAAAATAATAGCTTTAAAATGTATCTGTTAGAAAACAGGGAAGGCTGAAATGATGATTGTGAAGCAGGAGAAAGAAAAGGAAGTCAAACCCAAAGCAGGAAGGAAATAACAGGGCGTCAGAATCAGTGACATGCAGATGGACACATAATGGAAAAGAGCAAAAAGCCAAGAGCAGCGTGATGGGTAGGGTGGTACACTCGTCACCAGGAGGTAGCTGCGGCACAGCCCCGAGCAGGCACCTGCCACCGCTGCAGGCAACCCGCCAAATGCGGAACACGAGGTTGGGTGGGAGAATCGGGCCCCGAGGAGCACGTGCTGTGGCTCCCACGGTACAGGCTTCAAGACCCTATAGGACAGCCTGCCCTGCCGAAGCGGCCACTACCGACCTGCCGGCGCGATGGGCTCACAGTGCTGCTGTGCTCCTGGTCTGGGCCGGTGCGGGCACGTGTGCTTGGTGAGCAGCTACTGAGCTGCGCGCTGCAGTTCTCCTGCTTTCAGTGTTTGCTCTTCTTCAGTACGAAGGCACAGGAAAGGCAGCAGCAGCAGGTTCTCCCGTCCCCCCGTGTTCCCTTCCTGTACCACTGGCTGGGTTGTCTACTCTGGCAGAAGGCTCTTTATTTCTGGGACATTTAAAATGAAGATCTCTAGGCTGGGGAAACCCGGATCTGCTCCTGGAAAGGGCCTTCCTTGTGGCAAGCACCTACTGTGTGCTGGGCCCAGCCTGCCCACTGTCACTCAGCCTGTGCCCTCTGAACGGGAGGTGGCTGGCTCTGCGGGCCTGGTGGTCAGGGATAACACGGGGAGGTTGGAGGCTGCCGACACGGGTGACCTGAGTGGGCCTGGATGGCCGAGCCTGCGCTCTGGCCGGGCATCGCCAGGCAGACGTCAGCACCCACTCCACCACAGGTGTGACCCGGGACCGGGGCAACGAGGTCGGAGCAGACAGGTCAGGGGTGGCAGACTTTTCGATGTACACATTTTAGGCTCTGCAGCACAGACGTCTCAGTCCAAAACCATTAGTAGTATTTTTAAGCCCTTTAAAAATGTGAAAACCATTTTCAGCTTGAGGGCTGTACAAAACCAGGCCAAACCGTCCGGGGAGAAGAAACTTCAAAAAGCCACTTGTATCCTCATAAAGATAAGACATAAGACACAGTGTCCGTAAAACTAAGAGTGACAGGGTTCTAAGACTAACAACAAAAAGGAGTCCTCAGAATTAAAACTGCAGCAGCAGGGCTGGAAGACAGAGCCAGGAAATCGCCTGGAAAGCAGAAAGCCAGTGAATCGGAAACGAGAGGGCGCTCGGGCCCACTGGGTGACCTCTCAGCACCACCAGCCTGGAGGAACCACAGCGTGAGAGGAGGCATGGACTCTAGGAGCTCACATCATCAGGAACCCCCTCCAGGCAAACAGTGCTGTCCTGAGCTCAGGTGGGGGTGGGCGTAGGTATGGGTGTTAGCCAGAGGACAGCCCCAGGTCCGCCCTTGTGCCTCCCCACATTGCCTGAGGACACTTGATCATCCCTTCAGCGTAGACACTTGATAGCCACACCCAGGCCTCTTGATGTTGGCAATAAAATCAAGCGAGAGAGGAGCAGAGAGGGGAAGAAAGACAAATTAAAGGACCAATGAACGAGGCCCAGTGTCCAAACAGCAGGAGTCCAGAAAGCGGAGAAAACAGTTGCCAGGGAGTAAAGACACCAGGACAGCCCCAACCCACAGCCCCAGGTTTCTACACTGAAAGAGCAACCAGCGGATAAAAAGCCCAGCAGCCGGAGCAGCTTCGCACCGGGCCCAGCACGTGGCCCCCACATCCGGAGCCGGAACAGCGGGCAGAGAAACCCGCGAGCTTTGGAGAGGAGTGAAAACAAGACACACCCAGTCACCTCCTGTGACCCCCACACTGACCTCACCGTCCCACATGGACATGGGGGGCCTTGTGCTGGCTTGTGACAAGTGGTCGGGAGCCCTGGCCTTCTACCCCTTCCCCCAGAGAGCCCAGAAGGTGGACCGTCCCTGGGGATGGCCATGCCATCCGGGGGCCGTAACCATGAGCACCTTCTTGTCACTTAGATGAGCTGGGCAAGCCTGCAGGCCGAGTTCCCTGCCCTGAGCCCTGCGCAGCTGCACCGCCTCCTGACTCAGTACCAGCTGGCCTCGGCCATGGGCCCCATGAGCGCCTGGGAGCCGGGTGCCCAGGACCGCCCTGACGCCTTCAAGTCAGGTGAGCTGCTGGGGGCAGGGGAGCCTCCTGCGGGCCTTCCCTGGAGGAGCCTGCGGAGCACCTGGTACCTCCGCCCTGGGCTGCCTTCCTCCCTGGGTGCCCTGCCCTGTCCCCCACCTGCGGACATACAGTTGGGGCGTCAAGGAGCCCACAGTCCATGGCCAAGTTGTAAGTTCTGGGCTCGGGTCAAATGCATCCCTGCCCCTCCTGGAACCTGAGAATGGGTCTCACCCAGAACACAGCCCACCAGGGAAAGAGCAGCCAGCATGCTGGGTGCCACTGTGCTGTCCACAGGAACATTCCTGAGCACCCGTGCTGTGTGTGCTCACACACGCACACACACATGTTCACACATCCCCCACATGTGTTCACAGAGTACATGTGCTCACACACCCCACGCACATATGTTCACACAGCACACATGTTCACACACACATACCATATGCGTGGGCATGGACGCACGTGTATTTCCTACAGGTCACACGTGCCCCTCTTCATTAGCACTGTGTGTGATACAGAGGCGGAGGCTAGAGGAGGTAGAGGGCTCGGAACAGTAGGGCTCAGACACCCCAGCCCTGCTCACCTGGCGGCGGGGCTTGGATGCAGACGAGTTTGCCTCCCCTTTTCCGGTTCACTGCCCTGTGCTGGGATCAGAGCCCGCCGCTGGCGGGAGGGGCTCATGTTCAAGTGCAGGGACCAACATGCAGACAGCGCCGCTCCCAGGGGCACGGGGCTGCATGGGCCGGGGAGGCCGGGAGGAGCCGGCGTCAGCGCAGGGCTGCAGACTTGTGGGCTGAGCAGCTCAGCTCCTGGAGGGAGCCGGTGGGGTGCAGGCAGGGCCTGGGGGTGCAGCCAGTGCTCCAGAGGGTGGGGCCTTGTCCTTCACCCTGGGTGGTCACTGGGATCCAGAAGGGACCAGAGTGCCGTTTGGGCTGGTTACCCTGGTCTGGGCCCCTCCCCACTGTCCTTGGCAGGTCAGCCTGCTCCATCCCTGGTCCCCAGTGTCAGGAGGGGCGGGCGGCCTCTTCTGGCCCGTGGTCAGGCAGCCCACTCCCGCCCGCAGAGGACGTCCTGGAGTCCTATGAGAACCCCCCGCCCATCGTTCTGCCGAGCGAGGGCTTCCAGGTGGACTTGGAGGCGGACTGCCCGGACGACAGCATCTACCAGCACCTTCTCTACCTGCGCCACTTCCTGTGGGGCCTGCGCAGCAAGTCCAGCCCCAGCGATGGGACCCCCCAGCCCCAGGGCCTCAAGGTACTGCCGGTGGCTCCGGCTTTGACAGTAGGGGGGATGCAGGGACAGCTGTTGGCCTTGGGGAAGAAGCAGTAGGGAGACCTGGGGCCCCCTTGGTTTCTGCCCGGACAGGAGTTGGGTGCCTGAGTTCGCTCTCTCTCTCCTCCAGGGCCCGCACCACCCCACCCCTGAGGGGCACCCCGAGGGCCAGAGCTGCCCCCTGGCTCCCAGAGCCCCCAGCAGGGGAGCCCGTGAAGGCGGCCCAGTGCACCCTCTTCCTTCGGCTGGGGCTCCCCGGGCACAGGGTCCTCCAGGAGGGCAGCAGGGCCGTGGGAACCGCAAGGCCCCCCAGGCTGGATCCCTGCACACAGACTCCTCCTGCCTGCTCACGCCTCCCAGCACCCCACTCGAGCCCACCGGCCCTGACTGGCCCAACCCTGGCGGCCCCTGCGGGAAAGCGCTTCTGGAAGGAAGGAGGAATGGACCAGGTGGCTCCCCGGGGGCAACTCCAGAAGGTGAGACCTGTCCCTAGTTCACACCTGCATGGAGTTCACAGCCCCAGGTCCTGCTGGCACCTGGGCAGGTCCCTTTGGGTCATTCCCCCCTCAGGGTTCTGGTGGCATGTGTGTCCCGGGCTTTTATTTCCTGCCCATGAATGCCCGCGGCCCAGATGCCAGGAAGGCTCCAGGGCAGCAGGGCAGCTGGGCCACACGCAACCTCCCGGGGGACAAGGGGTGCTCCTCTGCAGGGGGTCGTGGAGGGACCACTTGGTGACATGCATCAGCCTCAGAGATGTGAGGGTCAGGGATCGGGTCGGGAGGATGGGAGAGCAGAGGGCAGGGAGTGTGTGTGCACGGATGTGGGTGCGGCTGGCAGGCTGTGAGGGCAGCCCTGACCCGAGTCCTCAGTGCTCCTGCAGTTTAGAGTTTGTCCTGAGGGCAGAGGTCACCTGGGCTGTGCCTGAGGCCTGTCACCTGGGGGGTGAAGGGAATAGGTGGGCACAATTGACCTGGTAGAGAAAGCATGGGACCCTCAAGGTGGGGAGTGGCGGCTTTAAAGGTGAGAAGAACCCCATCTCTGGAGGGGGGCAAGCTCCCTAGAGGCCTTGTGCTGGGCTGGGGGCCGGAGCCTTCCATCAGCAGGGTCAGACACTTGGGAGGGACAGCCAGTCACCACTGAGCGGTGTGACCGGGTAGGGAGGGGGGTTTAGAAGGTTCTGTGGATGGGGAGGGTTGGCGAGGGGGAGACAGGTATGAGCCTCAGCAGAGCCCCGTATAGCCCTCTGGTAACAGCTAGTCTCTGAGAGGCTGGTGTCCAGGGGCAGCCACAGGGGGACCAGGTGCCCCTTCCAGGCACACAGGGTGTCGCCCACATAGGCCCCGAGCTCCATTACCCCACTGGAGGTCTGGGGCTTGCGGCTCACCATCTTCCTGAACGGGCATCTCGCTGCAGCTCTGGTCTCGGGACAGCAGCATGCCCCTCACCTGCCCCTTTTCTTGTCCCCCCAGGAGACTGTGTGGCCCCTGAGGACGAGCTTCCTCCAGCCCCCTCCAGCCGCAGCTCCAGCACCGATGACTTCTGCTATGTGTTCCTGGTGGAGCTGGAGCGAGGCCCCTCCGGGCTGGGGATGGGCCTGATCGATGGGATGGTGAGTGGCCCCTGGGCTCCTCTGTCCCTTGAGCGGCGGGGTCCTATTTACCTAAGACAGGCCACAGCTGCCGAATCTGCTGAGGGGGCCCAGCCCACGCCAAGGGACCAGGGACTTGGCAGGGGCATCTCGGTGGGATGTGAGAGAAGGGAAAGGGCCTGTGCAGGAGCCGCCTTCCCAGCCTCTGTTCTCAGACCTTGGGTGTCTGTCCTGGGCCTGAGGACAGTGGTGGTGGCCAGTGCTGTGCTGCGGACACACTGGTGACCTGGGCGAGGTTGGCCTCTCCATTGAGGCTGGAGCTGAGGTGGCCATTGCTGGGGCTACCATCCTGTTGGGGTCCACGGAGCCCTGAGGCCTCTGCGTCCCCTACAGCACACGCCCCTGGGCACCCCCGGCCTCTACATTCAGACCCTGCTCCCGGGCAGCCCTGCAGCGGCTGACGGCCGGCTGTCGCTGGGAGACCGCATCCTGGAGGTGAACGGCAGCAGCCTGATGGGCGTCGGCTACCTGAGGTACCCCCCAAGCAGACACACCTGGCCTGGGCGGTGAAGCCATCGGGGAGCCCAGGGCCTGGGCCACCTGCACAATGAGACCCGCTCACTCTGCTCCTGTCATTACCCCACTTTAGAGATGAAGTGGAGGCAGGGCCCCCAGCCCAGCTCTGTGGCCGCCTCCCACCCTTTCCTCCCCTCCTCCCACCTGCCAGCCACGGGCCACCGGGCTCAAGCCTCTCAGGGTGGGGAGGGCAGCAGACACTGCCCATGGCCAGGCCCTCACCCGGCCCCTGCCCTGGGACTCCTGGGGTGGAGGCTTGGGGCCCCTCCGGGAGGCGCGCCCACCCTCCCCAGGAGCTAGAGACATCCTCGCCCCCTCTGGGTTCCAGAGCCGTGGACCTGATCCGACACGGGGGGAAGAAGATGCGGTTCCTCGTTGCCAAGTCTGACGTGGAAACAGCCAAGAAGATCCGCTTCCGCTCGCCCCCTCCCTAGGGGCCTGGGAAGCCACACGCTGATCCTGAGCGAGCTGGGGCGCCCCACCCTGTGGATAATGTACATCTTAGTGTATATTTTATTTATATGACAGATAACACTAAGTTGTGATGTTTGTTACAGAGCTTTTATGTTTGAAGATTTTAATGGAGACGTATAGATTCAATAAACTATCTTTCATATCTTGGAGCGTTGTGGTGAGTGGTCAGGGTGGGTGCCATGCTGGGCTCCCCTAGGGCCCAGGGGCTGCTGGGAGGGCCCAAAGGACCCAGTCCCCTGCCTGCCAGCAAGGGAGAGACCCTGGGAGGACGCGGGCGCGGTGATGGCAGAATGGTTTTAACTAACCGCCCTACCCAGAAACAAGGAGCAGCAGGAACACACTGGGCAGCCAGTGTGCAGGTTGCTCCTGGAAATCAGAGGCTCAGCACCGTCCCCAGAAAGGGTGGAGGACCCCCAGAAGGTTAGAGTGAGCCCTGACCCACCCTGGCCCCCGGGCCCCTGCTAGGGCTCAGGCCCCTCCTGGTTCCCTCTCTGGCCCCTGAAGCCGCGCTTGACCCTAACACCAGGCCTAGTCCGCAGCCCGCCTGCGCCCACCTGTCACTGCGCTCCCGGCGGGAGGCTCCCGCTCCAGCGCGCGGACCGTGGGGCGGCGTCTCCAGCAGCTTCGGCGGCGGCGGCTCAGGCCTCGGGTGGGCACGAGCAGGTGGCCGGGCGAGGGGGACCCCC